TCGCGATTATGTCCTTTAATTAATTTTATAGGCTTGTTAGTTTGCTATTTCAAACGCACATAAACTGTTGTTTTGATGTGTGTGGAACGATGGAGTGGATACGGCTTCAACGTTCATTCTAACCAACTTTATTATGCGTTAGAGCTAATGTATTTTAATGTATGTAGCTTTCATTTTTGCTGGAATATGTCAAAACTTCTTTAAAAGGTCCAACCTAGCCTTTATGCCGTTTGTTGAAAAGCCTAGATTTTAGGTCTAACTCGCATCTTTAGGATTTTAGAGCAATATAGGACCTACTCTTCAACCCTCAAATATTGTTGCTGTTCAGAACAACATGACGTCATAATCGCTACCGCCCGTCACTAAGAAAAGAAAAACAAAAACAAGAATCGACTCATGTGCCGAACGTAGATAACCTTCCGAAGCTAAGCTTACTTACTTAGCCAAAACACAACTTTAAAATGTCTACCCCCTGCAATGCTAAAGTGGAACAGGAACAAAAGGAACTCCCTGAATTGGAACCCTACGTTCGGACGCCATGCCAGAGAGTTTTGCCTCCATGTCCAATGAAAGTGAAGGAAAAGCCACCAACACCCGTTCCTGAACCTGAAATGCCAGCCTGCCCTTGCCCGGCCCCGTTACTGCCCCCCTGTTGCAAGGATAAAAAGTGAGTAGTGTTTCTAGTTTAGATCAATTTAGTTACATCAACATTTTAATCAACGCGATTATTTCTATCGCCATTTAAATCAATTTTCGGCTACTCTCAAAACTAAAATGCTTTGAGATATTACCCCACTGATGACGCAACATCCGGTTAACCCGTCACAAGAAAATAAAAAAAAAGCAGTGGCAAGCTAGAATATATATCAACCTTTTGGAAGGAATTCTAATTTTAAAAGCTACAACCGTGAAGACCATGGCTGACAAAAAAAAGGAAGAAACTTTACCAGCTGTGGAAGAATACCAGCGGGCCCCGTGTGTTGCGTTCTACCCACCGTGTAGAAACCCTCCATCACCACCTCCACCTCCACGCCCACCAACGCCAGTGGAAGAACCTGAAATGCCTCCTATACCTTGCCCCCCTGTTTACCGCATTCCGTGCTGCAAAAAATAATTAACAAGTAGCTATTTAAAGGTTTGTATTGTAATTAGGTCTTCAATCATTAAGTTTCCTATTTTCAGCTATGATTTTGTTTACCTCAATCTTTCAGTATACATTTATTAATCATTTTGCCGATAAATACTTCACTCCTGAATATAACCTTAACTTTAGTTTTAGCCCTATACTTAAACAGAAAAGTGAATTAGTTCTTCTGATAACTCCAGTATGTATATCGGGGCTATATAATACTGAAATCACTACCATCAACGTAAACCTGGTGGTAACCATAGCCGTGGTTAGACTCTAACCTAAACCCAGAACCAGCTATAATCCTAGCCAAACATCACTCCACCTTGATCACTGCCATAGTCGATTATAAACCAAACCAGCTAGAGTCAACATCGCTTGCAGTAGGACTCTACCTTTTTAAATCTTAGCCCTTATACAGCTTCAACTCTGAACCTAACCTAAACCCACGTTCTAAACCTCTTTACTATACCCATACACTACATTTTTTGATACATTCGATAGTTAAGTTAAGTAAATAGATCTAGGTCTAGCCAAACTAAAGGGAAAAGATGATCTTTTTTTTTCTACTAGACTCGATTCTAGATGTTTGTTTGGTAAAGAAGTATCGACTATATTTGCCGATACCGCCATTCAATACTCAGTCTCGAACTTAGCATTACACTGACCCTGAATAAATTTTGCTAACGTTTGGATAATTAGTGCCACGCCCTGGTCATTTGTTTTTTGTGCGTTGACCACTTGAGGGTTTGACCACGGGGGCTTTGTCCATATATGGTTTGTTAACGTGTAGTTCTTATAAATATTTATAACCCCGATAGTGTAGGTGCCCCCACACCGGTGAAGAAATAACTTAGCTTTGTACACCTTGCCATCAAACATCCATTTCAGTTCTCTGAATTATTCAAGGATATTTTGAAATGCTCTTGGAATTATTCTTGAATTTACTCGGCTTTAAAGCAGTATTAAGGGGTCATCCATAAATGACGTCACGCTTTTTTGACGATTTTTACCTCCCCCCTCCCCTCCGTCACACATCGTCACAAAAAGCCAGACCCCCCCCCCCCCTAAAATGACGTCACACCTCAGCCTACGGCCCTCCCCCACCCTCAAAATTGCAGTGGAATTTTTCTTAAAACATCGATTTTTCCAAAATTGTGTCTGAACTCTGTCATTATAGCGTATTTTAATCAATTCCTATTACAATTTATTAAAACCGTTTTCTAAAACGCGAAATAAAACTCGGTGTCTAACATTGCTTTTTTATAATGCAAAAGTGTGACGTCACATCATCTGAACCTCTACCCCCCTCCCCCTCATCACACACCGTCACAAAAGTACGGACCCCCTCCCCCTCGAGTTTGATGTCGTTTATGGACGACCCCTAACCAGTGTTTCTTCCAGACTTTTTTCTCCGGGGGAGGGGGGGGGGGCGTTTGAAATTTTCGGAGGGGAGACGGTCAACATTTTTCGGGGGGGGGGGGGGGGTGGACACTAGTAAAAGTGTATGTTTACTATATAAAATTCATCTCGTTCGGGGGAGGTAGACTTTCTTTCTTCGGGGGGGGGGGGGGGGGGGGGGGCGGGGGCGGATACCTAGAAGAAACTCTACCACTAACCCTGATTGCTATAGTGGAATCGTCGATGAATGAAATTCTAACAATTAGCTATAACAATTCCAAATGACGGTAGCCGGGTAGGACTTCCCAAGTGACTATTAATTTATTTTTAAAATCATGTGCACTGTATTAAAACATTTGCTAATAAAAAGGTGCGCAGTGGTTTTTGTACCACTTGACATTTGATGCTCTTAATATTTTCGGTCATTAAACAAAATGTTCAAAAGGTCTTTCATTTTACATACTTGTATGTATAGTAATCGGCACAAAAAAATCTAAATTGCGATTTTAACAGATCTTTACGAAGTTATCAATTTCTTGACCGTCTGTTTCTCTTGTCTCTCTGTCTCTCGTTCTCTCTCTCTCTTTCTGCATGTTTGTCATTGTGTATGTAAACACCAGTGGCGTAGGCGAGGTTGGGTGTCACCCGGTGCGGCACTTAACGGTGTCACCCTCCCCCCAGAGGCGTAGCGACCCTTCCCGGGGACAAACTTTCAAATTTTCGATTTGCACACACTCCCCCCCCCCCCTCAAACTTTCGATTTGCACCCACCCCCCCCCCCCTCAAGTTTTCGATTTGCACCCCCCACCCTCAAGTTTTTTATTTGCACCCCCCTCAAGTTTTTCTCTATATATTTTGCTATTTTTTGCCTTGGTGTCACCCCCCTAAATGGTGTCACCCGGTGCGGTCCTCACCCCCGCCCCCTCTCGCTACGCCTCTGGTAAACACGATACCTTGGCTGTCGTTTTAGTCAGGGTGATGTAATTTAATAGTTATATAAGTATATATATATATATATATATATATATATATATATATATATATATATATTGAATTTGTAGTTTTCTTTCACCTTTTAATCAAATTCCTGCAACCGGACGCGGTATTTGTTGTACTTATGGTTTAAGTAAACAAAACTTCTAATGGGAGTGTTAAGCTCCTGTACGAGCGATTTCCAGCTATTATAATCCGTCTTTTATTTATAAAAACATTCAAGATTTGATTACTACAAGTTTGTATTTCACTTGATTCTTTTCTCTATCGTCTGTCATGGGCGAAAACTCGAGCTAAATTTCGACTACTTCCAGAATATCGATGACAATACAATGTGACGTAGATGTCTAATTAATTTCTAGAAATTATTTCCTTGATAAAGTACTTTTCGGCTCTATTATTCACACATTTTTGCGTTCATTTTAATTGTGAGATATACTAAAATGTATCTTTTTAAGTTGGTTATTTTTAGTTGACAAAACCTGCACATTGGAGTAGGTTTGAGACATTTGGAGTCATGTATGACGGCGAAAAGGGTGAATGCAATGTAAGGCTAGAAAAATAATATCTACTATACTTTGTTAACAGCCATTTATCATTGCCCAATTAAAGGTACGTTTCAATTATTATAAAGAAAATGTCATCGAAATTGGTTGGTTTTTTTTTCAATTTGGAATAACCGTGAATTCCATGAGTATTAAGTAGAGAATGCTGTAACTATATCAGCTGATAAATAGTTGTATTAGAAAGGTCTATACAATTTTCAATAGCTTTGATTTACTTTTTAAAAATGTTAATTGAACACTTACATTATTAGATCTATATCGAATATAGATTTATGTACCTTTCAATGTTCTTAGCTTTAATTTTGTACGTAAAGCGACCCAGTCGAAATGTACAAATACACATGTAAAGTCCATGTAAAGAATAATAATCAGGTCTGTCTAGGCTTGGACGATGCCATTTATTATCTTAATCCCAAAATTTACTTTTTAATTAATTTAGAAATATAGAGTGCATTTATAAATAAATAATTAAAATAGCTGAAATATCAATACCGATTTCCTAGCCCCTCAATTTGTTTGTGATCTTGTTAAAACATGTCTGAAAGCTATTTTCTCCGAAAAGTAGATCTAGAAATCTATTTACTTAATCATTTGCAAATAATTTTTTAAACGAATTCATCTATTATCCCAGTAACAGTGAACTGTTTAATTATCAACAGAGCTTTGCTTACAACTATTAGTTAACCCTTGTTTTGACCCTAGTGTGATCTTAACCTAACATTTAGTACGTCCACAAGCAGGTATTGATTGTTATTATTATGATCCTACTCGCTAATTATATCCTGACCCTAGATTTGACCAAACCTGACCCTAACAGCGATACTCTCAATACTAGGCCTATCATCCTTTCAATCTGCCTCTGTTCTGATAAGATTTAAAAGGCTTCTGCCCATTGGATAGGCACTCTAGCAATGGTAACCATGGCGATTTGATTTCACTTCCTACTTACAAAATCATCTTGGCAATGATGACGTGAAAACAGGAAGTGCACATACTCTCGAAACCATGCATCATTGAGTGATGTCACCTAGCTACGGGAGACCTTGCAACTATCAAGTGTGAACACAAGACTTCAACATGGCCTGTCGAGATATTCCTGAATCGGATTGCCCGAAAGAAAAAGCATGTCAATCGAAGTCTTGTGCAAAAGACACTTGTGGCGCCAAAGACACTTGTGGTGCCAAAGACACTTGTGGCGCCAAAGACCCATGTGCCAAAGACACATGTGTGAAAGAAGTTGTTGAAGATACTCCCCCCGACTGTGCACCACAGAAGCCCCGAGTCAACGTGTGTCCGGCCGCTGAGAAAGCCAAGTCCAATAAATGCCCGTGTCAAAAGAAATAACAGCTGGGAAGCCCTATGGAAGAACGCATGCGGTAAAGCTAGTTGTTAGTTGTTAGATTAGATAGACCTAAAGTTAGCTGTTGTTAGATTAGACACAACCAACAATTACAATAGTCTCGAATCGGGTAATTTCGGTAATTAAATATTTTTAAAGCAAATTTTTCGCGTGGTAACGGAGACATAAAGACATTCGCAGTATTTTTTTAAATTAATAATTAAATATTAGCAATAGCAGGTGGAATACTTTAAAAAACATATTCACCTAAATCTAGATCTAGATCTAAGTATTTAGAATCTACGTTAAATAAAAAATATTTTTATAATATTGCCAAAGTTACCATTGCAATGCTTGTAATTTATTTGTTTACTGAAACATATTCACAAAGTAAACTTTTGTATTCATGTTCTCTATATATTAGCAACTGTTATATCATAGATTAGTTTCGAGTTTTTTTATCCGTCTCATCAAACTCATATGCGTCTATTTATGCTGTTGACAATATCTTTGATTATATTGAAATAACTTACATATCTAGATCTAGATCTATCGCTATATTCTACTTCTCGATATTTTATAATTTAGTTTAAATTCAAGTTCTATTGCTACGTATCGATATTGTGTTCGTGTTATATTTCTAGAACAATTTGTCTCAGTCACATTTCGTTTACCTGTGCCGGTATTATGATACTTTACCTTGTCTGTCACATTCACATTTATTTACCTGTGCCAGTATTATGATACTTTACCTTGTCTGTGACATTCACATTTATTTACCTGTGCCGGTATTATGATACTTTACCTTGTCTGTGACATTCACATTTATTTAGCTGTGCCGGTATTATGATACTTTACCTTGTCTGTGACATTCACATTTATTTACCTGTGCCGGTATTATGATACTTTACCTTGTCTGTCACATTCACATTTATTTACCTGTGCCAGTATTATGATACTTTACCTTGTCTGTCACATTCACATTTATTTACCTGTGCCGGTATTATGATACTTTAAGCTGTCTGTCACATTCACATTTATTTAGCTGTGCCGGTATTATGATACTTTAACTTGTCTGTCACATTCACATTTATTTAGCTGTGCCGGTATTATGATACTTTAACTTGTCTGTCACATTCACATTTATTTAGCTGTGCCGGTATTATGATACTTTAACTTGTCTGTCACATTCACATTTATTTAGCTGTGCCGGTATTATGATACTTTAACTTGTCTGTCACATTCACATTTATTTAGCTGTGCCGGTATTATGATACTTTAACTTGTCTGTCACATTCACATTTATTTAGCTGTGCCGGTATTATGATACTTTAACTTGTCTGTCACATTCACATTTATTTAGCTGTGCCGGTATTATGATACTTTAACTTGTCTGTCACATTCACATTTATTTAGCTGTGCCGGTATTATGATACTTTAACTTGTCTGTCACATTCACATTTATTTAGCTGTGCCGGTATTATGATACTTTAACTTGTCTGTCACATTCACATTTATTTAGCTGTGCCGGTATTATGATACTTTAACTTGTCTGTCACATTCACATTTATTTAGCTGTGCCGGTATTATGATACTTTAACTTGTCTGTCACATTCACATTTATTTAGCTGTGCCGGTATTATGATACTTTAACTTGTCTGTCACATTCACATTTATTTAGCTGTGCCGGTATTATGATACTTTAACTTGTCTGTCACATTCACATTTATTTAGCTGTGCCGGTATTATGATACTTTAACTTGTCTGTCACATTCACATTTATTTAGCTGTGCCGGTATTATGATACTTTAACTTGTCTGTCACATTCACATTTATTTAGCTGTGCCGGTATTATGATACTTTAACTTGTCTGTCACATTCACATTTATTTAGCTGTGCCGGTATTATGATACTTTAACTTGTCTGTCACATTCACATTTATTTAGCTGTGCCGGTATTATGATACTTTAACTTGTCTGTCACATTCACATTTATTTAGCTGTGCCGGTATTATGATACTTTAACTTGTCTGTCACATTCACATTTATTTAGCTGTGCCGGTATTATGATACTTTAACTTGTCTGTCACATTCACATTGCCGGTATTATCATACTTTTAACCCAGGCCTGAGCCCTGACTATGAATATGGGTACGGCTAATCATGAATGTTACTCCAATGTTAACAACTAATGAACAACTCAACATGAACTACTAGTATTTACTGCTGGGTATACTTAAGTCTACATCTAGATCAAGTTACCTGACCTCAGCACTTTCAGTCTTGTTAGATTAGCTGTCAAGTCTAGATCTAGCTCATGTCAGATGTCATATTAGCTGTCGTCTAGCTCATGTCAGATGTCATATTAGCTGTCGTCTAGCTCATGTCAGATGTCATATTAGCTGTCAAATCTAGCTTATGTCAGATGTCATATTACCTGTCGTATAGCTTATGTCAGATGTCATAATTAGCTGTCTGTCGTCTAGCTCATGTTAGATGTCATATTAGCTGTCGGCTAGCTCATGTCAGATGTCATATTAGCTGTCGGCTAGCTCATGTCAGATGTCATATTAGCTGTCGGCTAGCTCATGTCAGATGTCATATTAGCTGTCGTATAGCTTATGTAAGATGTCATATTAGCTGTCGTCTAGCTTGTGTCAGGTGTCATATTAGCTGTCGTCTGTGTCAGATGTCATATTAGCTGTCGTATAGCTTATGTCAGATGTCATATTAGCTGTCGTCTAGCTCATGTCAGATGTCATATTAGCTTTCAAGTCTAGCTTATGTTAGATGTCATATTAGCTGTCATCTAGCTCATGTCAGATGTCATATTAGCTTTCAAGTCTAGCTTATGTTAGATGTCATATTAGCTGTCATCTAGCTTATGTCAGATGTCATATTAGCTGTGAAGTCTAGCTTATGTCAGATGTCATATTAGCTGTCGTCTAGCTTATGTCAGATGTCATATTAGCTGTGAAGTCTAGCTTATGTCAGATGTCATATTAGCTTACACGTCTGGTTTATATTAGATGTCAAATTAGCTTTTAAGTCTGGTTAATATTAGGTGTTATATTAAATTATATCAAATCTAGTTTGTCTGATGTTATATTAGCTAGTCAATGTTTTATAAGCTGTCAATTATAGTTTGCTAGATGCTTATGACGAGACTATAAAATTATTTGTTACGTTGACATGTCATTAGGTATGCAACATTACAAAATTTCTCTTATTTTTTAAGAATATTAACAAATATGTTTCTCTTAAACGTCATGAGTCCACCTACCCTATATGTCTGTGTTTCACTATACTTTGGTACTTATATGACAAAAACGGGTTACTTTGGTACAAAAAATGTTTACTTTGGTATAAGAAGAGCTGGTTACTTTAGTACAGGAACTGGTTACTTTAGTGCAGGAACTGGTTACTTTAGTACAGGAACTGGTTACTTTAGTACAGGAACTGGTTACTTTAGTACAGGAACTGGTTACTTTGGTACAAGAAACTGGTTACTTTGGTACAGGAACTGGTTACTTTGGTACGAGAACTGGTTACTTTAGTACGAGAACTGGTTACTTTAGTACGAGAACTGGTTACTTTAGTACGAGAACTGGTTACTTTAGTACAGGAACTGGTTACTATAGTACAGGAACTGGTTACTTTGGTACAAGAAACTGGTTACTTTGGTACAGGAATCGGTTACTTTGGTACAGGAACTGGTTACTTTAGTACAGGAACTGGTTACTTTAGTACAGGAACTGGTTACTTTAGTACATGAACTGGTTACTTTAGTACAGGAACTGGTTACTTTAGTACAGGAACTGGTTACTATAGTACAGGAACTGGTTGGTTTGGTACAAGAAACTGGTTACTTTGGTACAGGAACTGGTTACTTTGGTACGAGAACTGGTTACTTTAGTACGAGAACTGGTTACTTTAGTACGAGAACTGGTTACTTTAGTACGAGAACTGGTTACTTTGGTACAGGAACTGGTTACTTTAGTAAGGAACTGGTTACTTTGGTACAAGAAACTGGTTACTTTGGTACAGGAACTGGTTACTTTGGTACAGGAACTGGTTACTTTCGTACAGGAACTGGTTACTTTAGTACGAGAACTGGTTACTTTGGTACAGGAATCGGTTTCTTTGGTACAAGAAACTGGTTACTTTGGTAACCGGAACTGGTTACTGTGGTCAACCCCCACCCTGACCATAAACCTAGCCCTATCCCCAAACAGTGTATACTGTACCCTTCATTCTTTACTTCTAACAGCGTATACTGTACCCTTTATTGTTTACTTCTAACAGTGTATACTGTACCCTTCATTCTTTACTTCTAACAGTGTATACTGTACCCTTCATTGTTTACTTCTAACAGCTTATACTGTACCCTTTATTGTTTACTTCTAACAGTGTATACTTTACCCTTCATTCTTTACTTCTAACAGTGTATACTGTACCCTTCATTCTTTACTTCTAACAGCGTATACTGTACCCTTTATTGTTTACCTCTAACAGTGTATACTTACCCTTCATTCTTTACTTCTAACAGTGTATACTGTACCCTTCATTCTTTACTTCTAACAGTGTATACTGTACCCTTCATTGTTTACTTCTAACAGCGTATACTGTACCCTTCATTCTTCGAACACACTACGAGCCTTTAAATAACAATGTTTATTTTTTTCTTCTATCTGCAGAGCTTAAGGTCTTCAAATGAAAAGTATAACATCCTAATTACAGAGCTTAATGCCATGTGTCTTCAAATGAAAAGTATAACATCCTAATTACAGAGCTTAATGCCATGTGTCTTCAAATGAAAAGTATAACATCCTAATTACAGAGCTTAATGCCATGGGTCTTCAAATGAAAAGTATAACATCCTAATTACAGAGCTTAATGCCATGTGTCTTCAAATGAAAAGTATAACATCCTAATTACAGAGCTTAATGCCATGGGTCTTCAAATGAAAAGTATAACATCGAAAGAACTGAAGTCACAAACATCACAAATGATATAAATAAAAAATAGTACTGCTTATGGTACTTTCTTTAGTTTTTACAAGTCTAGTCTGTTTGTGTTGAATTTGTAAGTCTGATCTGTTTGTGTTTAAAGTCTGGTCTGTTTGTGTTTAAAGTCTGTTCTGTTAGTGTTTAAGTGTCTAGTCTTTTAGTTTAATACTTGTATAGTGCTCATTAACCTTGCGAATTTCAGTGAACTCTACTGCCATATTATATTTATACGGTGAACTCTGCCATATAATATACTGCAGGGAACTCTATTGCCATATAATATACTGCAGTGAACTCTGCCATTTAATATACTGCAAGGAACTCTACTGCCATATAATAATCTGCAGGAAACTCTATTGCCATTTAATATACTGCAGTGAAATCTACTGCCATATAATATACTGCAGTGAACTATATTGCCATTTAATATACTGCAGGGAACTCTACTGCCATATAATATACTGCAGTGAACTCTACTGCCATATAAAATACTGCTACAGTTCAGTTCTCTAGCTGGTAATGTCGCTTATGTTTGGCCATTATTAAAGACTAGAAAAGCTTTTTCTGTAACTGTGAAAAATATCACAAGTCAACAATTTGAGAGCCTAGAAAATGACACAAGCCTATGAAAATATTGGCCTAGTGTTGCAAATCGCAATTGAAACATACACAAACATTTATTTTTAAAAAGTTTGAATAATTAGCTTTTATATAATTATGCACTAAAAAGTAGAAAATAAATGGTTTTCTTCAAATATAATATATTTAAATATTTAAATATATATTAAACCAATATATAAATAACAAAAAAAATAAAGCGAGGTTTGCTTTTTAAATTTTAATTCAATACATAACATAATTATAAACAAAAGATGGAATCTGAAATAATTTCATCAATGAAATATACTCAAATGCTGTAGGGCGTCTCCATAGTCTTATAGCAGACGTAGACAAAACAGGGTTAAGACTTGGTGGAGGGGGGTTAAACGGTGGCTTATTGTTTACATTTTAGTTGACTACAGGTAAACTTTACTGCTCGACATTACTTTGAATGACTATCTGCACTGTACTAGTGTAAATTAATTGGAAACTATTCATGGTAGGTCAACGGGGCTTAGCTAGCAAGAAAATATACTCGATATCATCTAAAACTATAGTTGTTTAAATTCAGAATACTGTGTACAATTTGTAAACAATAATTACAAACATGTTAACATCAAGAATTTGGAAATAGTCCAACCTTGATATGATTATTTTGTTTTTAAAATAGTGACGTTTAAATTGAAAGATGAACTCAAATCAAAAGATAGTGTATTCTAATTTTCGAAATAGAATCGGTGTAGTAAACAAAGGCAACACAAGATATTTTAGAATAGGGGCTTGGATAATGTAAACAAAACTCTGGCCATAAGTACACACTTAGGGCACGTACACACTTAGGGCTCGTACATACTTAGGGCACATACACACTTAGGGCACGTACACACTTAGGGCACGTACACAATAAGGGCACGTACACACTTAGTGCACTTACACAATAAGGGCACGTACACACATAGGGCACGTACACACTTAGGGCACGTACACACTTAGGGCACGTACACACTTAGGGCACGTACACACTTAGGGCACGTACACACTTAGGGCACGTACACACTTAGGGGACGTACACAATAAGGGCACGTACACACTTAGGGCACGAACACACTTAGGGCACGAACACACTTAGGGCACGTACACACTTAGGGCACGTACACACTTAGGGCACGTACACACTTAGGGCACGTACACACTTAGGGCACGTACACACTTAGGGCACGTACACACTTAGGGCACGTACACACTAAGCGCACGTACACACCTTACATTGTACACAGGGTTAAAAAAAACAAGGTGCTAGTTTTAGGACCTGGTCCGCGTCACGTGACAAAAATGTAAGGTCAGTTTATTCAGTCAACAACTGTTTTTAGTGTGGGATATACTATACTATGTTATACCAAGCGTTAAGTTAGAGAAAGTTTGAAGTAATTATTCAACATGGCAAGTATTTGTTTATTAATACTTTGTTGGGGCGGACAGGAAAAGGTGTAGACATAGTAAAGCTATAAGACATACCTAGACAGACAAGACACAGACATGGCACACAACGGGACAGACATGACACCACGAGTGATCCAATAATTACCCATGAGATGCCATCAATGTGCCCTCGAGTTACCCAGGAGTTGTCCTGAAAATACCCTTACGCACATAGTCTCATCCCAGCCAAATGGTCCTTCTTTGCAGAACTTGAGTGTATGTATATATATATGTATATATATATATATATATATATATATATATATATATATATATATATATATATATATATATATATATATAAACAGATAAAAATAACCTTACCTAATTATAACCTAAACATTAAATCTTAACCGTTATAGCCAACAACCTAACCTTACTCTTAATCCAAACTCACGCCCCAGCTTAACCAGAATGTCTATATACTGAACAGATGGTCACAAACTATATTTCTGCTAGCGATACCGATACAAGGTATCGAATCGGACTCAGACGATTCTCGTATCGAATTAAATAGTGTTGCCATATGTCACATTAGTAAAGGGACTTTTAAATACAGGTAGAAAGTTGAGTTTACATACAGCCTTTTGTGTTCTTCTTTCTTCGCTCACACCACTGACTGACTGTGTAGATTTATAGGCAATTCGGGGTTTGTAAGTAAAGCTCGTGGTAGTTTTCTTAAGGTAAGTAAAGATGATTTTAAAGTGCTTCAGTCTAGGATTTTAAGAATACTTAACCACTATAATTATAGGTAAGTAAAATTACCCAATTTTCTAAGTACACATATTGGAAAATTGATAGTTTTTAAACTTTGGAAAATAAAATCTCCTTGTTTAGATGGGTCGTCGTTGGATTGATTTTTGCATAAAGAGTTTATGGCGGTCCAGGATCTCATGGCTAGTTTTAATCTGTGTTTCTTTTCTCAACGTCACTCTCTTTCTACACACCTCGCGTCTGACGTACACCAACTGTGACACAGGTAAGTCATAGCTCAGGTACATCACCTACAATCATACAGGCAGATCACCTACAATTATACAGGCTTGAGGCACATCACCTACAATCATAAAGGCTCGAGACAGATCCCCTACAATCATACAGGATTGGGGCAGATCACCTACAATCATACAGGATTGGGGCAGATCACCTACAATCATACAGGATTGGGGCAGATCACCTACATGTTTTGTATGAGCCCTGTCATTTACAAGCAAACATGTTTTATGAGAAGCGAATCTACAACCATATATGTTTGTGCTACACCTTTACTATCATACATGTTTTCTATGAATTACTCATCTACAATCATACATATTTTGGCAGCTCGCCTACAATCTTATCAGTCTGACATCTGGCAAACAATCATACTTGTTTGTATGAGAAAGCTCTTCCACAATCATCTACGTTTGTAACAGCGTATCTACAATCATGTATGTTGACCCAGCCCATCTACAATCATACATACATTGTACGTAGCACATCTGTATATTATATTTATGTCTTTTTCCATATTAGGATCTGCTATATTTGAACATGAATATTAAGTGACCATCATAAATAGACAGTGTTTTGAAGAATGCTTAATATTTATATTATGCTTATGTATGACTAATGAAATATTAGCTAATCTATAGCTTGCTCTTTGTCCTATTTGCAATTCTTGTTTTGTGGGAACTATTTACATGTCTGTCATATTACATGGCGTCGACTGTGTTTTTTCAGGCGTCTCTGGTGGGGGGGGGGGGGGGAAATTGAAAATAATAGTATTAGTGAGACGAAGGGTCAACCGTTGATGCGTGACGCAGGTACTGGTCTCACCCAGAGGGATAGCGAGGGCGGGGCGGGGGATGCAGACCGCACCGTGTTACACCATTTAGGGGGGGGGGGTGACATCAATGCACAAAGTTGCAAAATGTATTGGAGAAAATACTCTTTTGCCAGTACCATTAATGATTAATTAAAGTTAAATAGACTTTTAATTACAAATAGACAATTATTACAAGAGGGTCGGGGCGACACCATGACGTAAAAGATCGAGAAAACATACTAGATCTAACTGTATTATTAACAGAATATATATAAACATCGTTATTATATATCGTTACTCTTTCCCCTCAACAAATATTGTTCAACATAAAGTATGGACTGATTACTCCATAAATATAAGAACCTTCTTTAGTCAGGGTTACTTTTATTCTGTGGCTTTTTGTCACTTCAGATTTTCATTGTTTTCATTGCTTCTTTGCCAAATAAGTAGAAAGAGAGAGAGAGAGAGAGAGAGATGAAGAGAAAGATTGTGAAAGAGAGTGATGGTAAATGCAGAATGAATATATGATTAGAATAAAACGATGTGCCGAATAAGCGTAGTGTTGTAATAAATTAGAGTTGTTAATAAAGACATTTTTTAAGCTCCTGATTGTCGCTGTGATCGGAAAGATAACTCGCTTCAAAGTCTCAGATCACAAGGGTAAGTTTATACAGACAACTTTGTTCAGTTTACAAAATATGCCAAACTTCAGTTTACACAAACATACAACAAAATTAGTTTACCAACTTGTAACTTGTGTCAGTTTGAAGAAGATGACATCGAATTTTAGTTACCCAACTGTATGTCTGAATGATGTGGCCGAATGGTAGATCTCACTACTACTAACCCGAAAGTCTAGAGTTCGGATACTGGACTCGAGTCTGTAGGATATCTCAACACTGAAGGGTACAAAACGGCTGAGCATAATGCTGACCACACTATCCCTTATATGACGAGTTAATTAATACAGATGAACTCTACTTCATCTGCGTCTTGTGAACAAACGAGAGCAAACGAGGATGAATAAACAGCTTGGCAGTGGGTAGAGAGAGAAACTAGTTGTCACGTGGTTCTAAACTTAACCAGGTTTAAATTCACACGAGATGACCTGAGGTTGACCTTCAGGGAGGTTCCAGCACTAGGGGAGGACACAGCAACACGTGACAACATTGACCAGTACACGTGTACTCAGCCAGAACACCACAGACGCACAGAGGACGTCATGTGCTACGTGAGTATGTCTTGCTGTCCTGAGACTTTTTATCCTTTTGTAAATATGTCTTGTAACTCAAACATACATATATACATACACACTCATATATATATATATATATATATATATATATATATATATATATATATATATATATATATATATATATATATATATATATATATATATATATATATATATATTTTATTTATAATATATATATATATATGTGTATATATAATATGTGCATTACATATATATTTATATAATGTGCGTATAATATGTAAATATATGTATTATATATATATATATATATATATATATATATATATATATATATATATATATATATATATATATATATATATAGTCAAAGTAGTTGCTCCACCAAATTGTTGTCATGATTGCCCCGACCTGCGTCACTCTCCTGATTGAAATTCCAACAGAAACGTCCACATTATCTCCCCGAGTACCAGAACCCGTGTTATAGAGAGGCGACCACTGACCAGCTGGACACTGGCCGTATCCGCTGCTTGCCCTACTTCCACATACTGGGTGTAGACAAGTCTGGAACTACAGACTTTTTCTCCAGGCTGGTGGCACACCCCCAGATCCTCAATAACTCGGGTGAACTAGGCAAGGAGACTTCCTATTGGGCCTGGCTTAGATATGGTAATCTATAGTTATGTTTACTTTTATCAAGTTTATTAATTCGTCAGTAACAGAGTACCTACAATAACAATCATCCAGTTTTGTTTCTCCTTTTGAAATGAGTGTTAAGGTTTTCATATTATTGATCTTCAATCATATATATATATATATATATATATATATATATATATATATATATATATATATATATATATATATATATATATATATATATATATATATATATATATATATAGGCTTATGGAATCACAAGAAACGCCGAAAATGGAGATTATGGAAGTATGTTCGTTATTTTGATAAGGCTAGCTCAGAGATTCAAGCTTCGTTCGTGAAACATAATCAACAGCTAATTACAGGTACGTAACTTGTCAAAACATAAATAACGGCTAACTACAATTCTTGCTAATGTTAAACAGTGAATGTATTTACATGTAAAAAAGCAAATAAAAATAGATGAAATAGATTTTATTTCGCAACACATTACAATCTTAAATATTCTCTACCCAAACATTTAAATAAAAGATAGTAGAATTTTTAGCACAATTTCCATTCTGGAGAATTGCGTTTATTAACTCGTCATTTCTGGGAATGGATGGATGAATGAATGAATGAATGTATGGATGAATGTGTCTCCGGGCTTTAAGTCGTATCTCCTCCTCAACGAAGCAATATCGATGACTAGTTCCAAAAGCAATTATGTTAAGCAAGTTACGAGAATGAGCATAGGCCATAAAAATTCCGGGTTTCTTTCATGTATTTCCCGGAAAAGCCAAAAAAACTCGAAAAAATGCAGTTTTTGGCCCATATCTCGGCAACCAGACCACTTAGCTACTTGAAACATGTACCAATCGATTCCTGCCATAATTTAGAACAATATTGCCGAAGAAAATTTTCAAAAATATCCTCTCGTTCGGTCACAAATTTTAAAATTACATAAACACCAACAAACCGATCGTTCTTCTAGCTTGAACACACCCCAGCATTATACGTCAGAGCTATTTTTAGATAACATAAGGAAATTGCGCATAAATGTCACTAGACTTTTTTAATTAACTTGTTTTTTATCTTTGTATCTGCACTTTGAGCTTGATACATGTTAATAGAATCAGCTGCCTTAACACAAGATATACAAGAAACATGACATCTTCGGGGAGGTTATTTAAAGCGGTTCCCTGTCTGCAGGAGACGGCACACCCATGGACTTCTGGGACTTCCGTGGCTGGACGCTTGACCCCCAGAATGCTGGTCTGACAGAGCCCAGGGTCCTGACCCCCCACTTGATGCGGCACTTGTACAAGAACCCCAAGTTTATCCTTCTCTTCAGAGACCCGGTCGACAGGTGCTTTGTCTGCTTCATACTTTATGAGACACCACTTTATGAGACACAACTTTATAAGACACAACTTTATAAGACACAACTTTCTAAGACACACCTTTATAAGACACACCTTTGTAAGACACAACTTTATAAGACACAAGACACAACTTTATAAGACACAACATTATAAGACACAACTTTATAAGAGACAACTTTATAAGACACAACTTTATAAGACACAACTTTATAAGACACAAGACACAACTTTATAAGACACAAGACACAACTTTATAAGACACAACTTTATAAGACACAACTTTATAAGACACGACTTTATAAGACACAACTTTATAAGACACAACTTTATAAGACACAAGACACAACTTTATAAGACACAACTTTATAAGACACAACTTTATAAGACACAACTTTATAAGACACAACTTTATAAGACACACCTTTATAAGACACAACTTTATAAGACACAAGACACAACTTTATAAGACACAACTTTATAAGACACAACTTTATAAGACACAATTTTATAAGACACAACTTTACGAGACACAACTTTATAAGACACAAGACACAACTTTATAAGACACAACTTTATAAGACACAACTTTATAAGACACAACTTTATAAGATAACTTTATAAGACACAACTTTATAGGACACAATTTTATAAAACACATATTTATAAGACACAACTTTAAAAGACACAAATTTATAAGACACAACTTTATAAGACACAACTTCATAAGACACAACTTTATAAGACACAAGACACAACTTTATAAGACACAACTTTATAAGACACAACTTTATAAGACAATACTTTATAAGACACAACTTTATAAGACATATATTTATAAGACACAACTTTATAAGACACAAGACACAACTTTATAAGACACAACTTTATAAGACACGACGTTATAAGACACAAGAGGACAATTTGCAATATTTGTAGCTGACATTTAAAAAACATTTCTATATGAATACACACATGTATTTGCATGAAGCTCTTTGTGTGGTTCCAGACTTTATTCGGACTACATCTTCCTTGGCTATGGTTTTACAGCTGAAAAGTTTGCTAGAGACGTGCCTAAAGCTATTGCCATGCTCAGATATTGTCTACAGACTAATACAACACGACAATGTTTCTTTAGTGATTGGATGTACCATCGGCTACCTGTAAGGGACTCTTGGTGTAGTGGTCTTCTTGGCGGGGTGGTTGGTGAGTGGGTTGGTGGGTGGGTTGGTGGGTGGGTTGGTGGGGTGGTTGGTGGGTGGGTTGGTGGGTGGGTTGGTGGGGTGGTTGGTGGGGTGGTTGGTGGGTGGGTTGGTGGGATGGTAGGTTGGTAGGATGGTTGGTGGGATGGTTGGTGAGTGGGTTGGTGGGGTGGTTGGTGGGTGGGTTGGTGGGGTGGTAGGTGGGTTGGTGGGGTGGTAGGTGGGTTGGTTGGTGGGTGGGTGGGTGGGTTGGTGAGTGGGTTGGTGGGTGGGTTGGTGGGATGGTTGGTGGGTGGGTTGGTGGGGTGGTAGGTGGGCTGGTGGGGTGGTAGGTGGGTTGGTTGGTGGGTGGGTTGGTGGGGTGGTAGGTGGGTTGGTGGGGTGGTAGGTGGGTTGGTTGGTGGGATAGTTGGTGGGGTGGTTGGTGAGATGTTTTGTGGGTTGTTTGGTGGGGTTGGTGGTGGTATCTATGGTGGGTTGGTTGGTGGGTTGGTTGGTGGGTGGGATGGTTATTGAGATGTTTATTGAGATGGTACGGCATGTCTAATGTGAAACAATCTAGAGACGATGCTAAAATTAACATAGTCCCCATGTTTGTGTTCCAGATGCGAATCCACACCAGCTGTTATTCCGTGTTTCTAAGAGAGTGGTTGTCTGTGTTTCACCGAAATCACTTCCTGGTCTTGCGAACAGAGGACTATCACAGCAACATGAAGGCCACGTTAGAGCAGACGTTTCGTTTTCTACAAGTAGGTGAGTACATTTTCTACAATTAGGGGAGTACATTTTCTACAAGTAGGTGAGTACATTTTCTACAAGTAGGTGAGTACATTTTTTACAATTAGGTGAGTACATTTTCGACAAGTAGGTGAGTACATTTTCTACAAGTAGGTGAGTACATTTTCCACAAGTAGGTGAGTATATTTTCCACAAGTAGGTGAGTACATTTTCTACAAGTAGGTGAGTACATTTTCTACAAGTAGGTGAGTACATTTTCTACAACAACATTCATGGTCTACGGCGTGTACAGCAACTCCTTGTATAGATACACTGATTAGTAAGAACACGCGTAGTTTATTTTAATTATCTTACTATGGTTGATGTATGTAAGATTTCTACACAAGCCCCCACTAACCTTGTAACATTTCTAAACCAGCCCCACTGACCTTGTAACATTTCTAAACCAGCCCCACTGACCTTGTAACATTTCTACACCAGCCCCCACTGACCTTGTAACATTTCTACACCAGCCCCACTGACCTTGTAACATTTCTAAACAAGCCCCACTGACCTTGTAACATTTCTACACCAGCCCCACTGACCTTGTAACATTTCTACACCAGCCCCCACTGACCATGTAACATTTCTAAACCAGCCCCACTGACCTTGTAACATTTCTACACCAGCCCCACTAAGTGACCCTGACCTTGATGACGTCCTGAGGCAGCAAATGAAGCATGAGACGTACCTCAAGAAAACAGCAGGCGACATGTACCCAGAGACCCGTGCTCTACTGGAAGAATTCTTTGCTCCATTTAACCAAGATCTCACTCGTCTGCTACAAGATGACAAGTTCTTGTGGAAGGACCAACCAAGATCTCGCTCGTCTGCTACAAGATGACAAGTTTTTGTGGAAGGACCAACCAAGATCTCGCTCGTCTGCTACAAGATGACAAGTTCTTGTGGAAGGACCAACCAAGATCTCGCTCGTCTGCTACAAGATGACAAGTTCTTGTGGAAGGACCAACCAAGATCTCGCTCGTCTGCTACAAGATGACAAGTTTTTGTGGAAGGACCAACCAAGATCTCGCTCGTCTGCTACAAGATAACAAGTTCTTGTGGAAGGACCAAGCAAGCTTGTACTACAAAGCGTTTTCTAGAAGTTTATCAAGATGTCACTAGACCCACTAAATTATCTCCAGATGTCATGTTGTGTCATGTAATGTCGTCTTTACGTGCTTGAAATGTGTCTTCAACCCCTCAACCCTGTCTCTTGCAAGTCTCTTTACCATAAAATTACCTATAACGACGTCATCAAACTTTGCGTACCGCTCATTGTTGTGTTTAGTTTTTGTGTTATTGTTGCTGTGTGGTCTATATCCTACTTGCAGGCTGCTATCAGACTTCTACCACCAGTAATACACACGGTACCGCTTGTAGGCTAGCAAATGTTTTATTTTAAATTGTTTACCTTAGTTGTGTAGGTTTTTAAATTAAATAAATGTAAAACTAAAAGTTTGTCAAATTTCTGTCAAATCCCTGTTAGTTGCAGAGTTGACAATTCATAGTTTACGGCTTAAGTTTATCAAAGCTGAAGTCGATCTATTGATGGCATCCTAATAACATTGTTATGGTTGATTATAGAATCTAAGTGGCCCGGTACACAACTAAACATTTCTCCTAAAGATTGGAATAGAACAAAAACAGTATTTCAGTGAGGGGTTAGTTTCTTATCGATACCATTGATAGGCAAAATAGTTGAGTGTAAATGATAATTATACATTAAGGAGTGATAGGTCAAGATTAGATTAAAGGCTATTGTTATGCCAGGATTAGTGTTAGGATTATTGTGAGATTATAACATGTGAGTTACATGATGGGTTAAGGTAAGGATTAGTGCTAGGATTATCGTAAGGATACACATTAAAAAACTGAATTTAGCTTAAAGTACCTTCTGACAGAGGCGTAGCGATGGGGGGGGGGGGGGCAGGGGGGACATATTTACCGGGCGACGACCTTAGGGGGCGCCATAAGGGGTTGGAAAAAGTAATCGAAAGTTTGAGGAGGGGTGCAAATCAAAAGTTTTAAGGGGGTGCAAATCGAAAGTTTGTCTCCGGGCGCCAGGAAGGGTCGCTACGCCTCTGCCTTCTGAGTGTAATTTCTGAGCTCCAGAGTGACCGTGTAGCATTGTTTACAGACCATGTGTGTCAGAAGGCCGAAATGTGGCATCAGAAATTGTGTCTTGAGGGTCAGAAGCTGGTGTGTTTATTTGATAGACGTGGGCTTTCTGCCTGCCGTGGCCGCCGTTATGTTTTACCTGATGGCAGACACAGTGGACAACTTTTTCCTCAGTAAGTTAGTTTTGTTGGTAGACACAGTGGACAACTTTTTCCTCAGTAAGTTGGTTTTGATGGTAGACACAGTGGACAAATTTTTCTTGAGTAAGTTGGTTTTGTTTTGATGGTAGTCAAGTATAATGTGTGACCTCGTAAAGATAGCTCTGAAAAGGGGCTCATAACAAAAAGACACTTTAAAAAAGCGTTTAGTATAACTAGCAGTCTGACAGTTGATAATAACAAACGCATGCTAAAAGCTGTCCAATTAGTCAAATAGTCCATAGCTTTTAGAGTTAGTCAAAGTTTTATGTTATTTAACGCTTTCCATTTCTGCCGGTTTAGTGAGAGAAAACACCAAAAAGATATCCGGACAACCGGCATACGGCACGGAGCTGCAGGTCACGCCACAGGAGGTCATTGACCGGAACAAAACCTACGTCATGGATGACATCACAGGTGTGGATTTCAACTAGCCATCTAGAAAGCACGACCTTGACCTTGGTATAATTGTGACACCGGACTTCCTAAGTCAAAAACTTCACTACACCAGGGTGGCTGGGGGTGGCTGGAGTGGCTGTGGGTGTCTGGGGGTGGCCGGGGGTGGCTGGGGGTGGCTGGGGTGGCTGGGGATGTCTGGGGTGGCTGGATGTGTTTGGGGGTGGCTGGGGGTGGCTGGGGGTGTCTGGGGTGGCTGGGGGTGTCTGGGGGTGGCTGGGGGTGTCTGGGCTGTCTTGGGTGCCTGGGGATGTCTGGGGTGTCTGGGGTGTCTGGGGGTGTCTGGGGTGTCTGGGGGTGGCTGTGGTGGCTGGGGTGTCTGGGGGTGTCTGGGGTGTCTGGAGGTGGCTGGGGTGGCTGGGGTGTCTGGGGGCGTCTGTGGTGGCTGGGGGTGGCTGGGGGTGGCTGGGGGTGGCTGTGGTGGCTGGGGTGTCTGGGGGTGTCTGGGGTGTCTGGAGGTGGCTGGGGTGGCTGGGGTGTCTGGGGGTGTCTGGGGTGTCTGGAGGTGGCTGGGGTGGCTGGGGTGTCTGGGGGTGTCTGTGGTGGCTGGGGGTGGCTGGGGGTGGCTGGGGTAGCTGGGGTGTCTGGGTGTGGCTGTGGTGGCTGGGGTGTCTGGGTGTGGCTGGAGGTGTCTGGGGTGTCTGGGGTGTCTGGAGGTGGCTGGGGTGGCTGGGGTGTCTGGGGGTGGCTGTGGTGGCTGGGGTGTCTGGGTGTGGCTGGAGGTGTCTGGGGTGTCTGGGGTGTCTGGAGGTGGCTGGGGTGGCTGGGGTGTCTGGGGGTGGCTGTGGTGGCTGGGGTGTCTGGGTGTGGCTGGAGGTGTCTGGGGTGTCTGGGGTGTCTGGAGGTGGCTGGGGTGGCTGGGGTGTCTGGGGGTGTCTGTGGTGGCTGGGGGTGGCTGGGGGTGGCTGGGGTAGCTGGGGGTGGCTGAGGTGGTAACTTGGAGAACGGCAGCGCTATCAGCTGACTTATAAAGTCTAGTCTGTACCATTCATCTCTAGTCTGTACCATTCATCTCTGGATAGTCTCTAGATACTTTCATTCCATTAGCCTCACTGATGTTTTTATTATGGATTCATTGCATGTCCTAACTTTCTATATAAAGATGTCCTCATGATTCTACATACAAAGTCTCTAATGTTCTACATACAGATGTCTCACTATTCTTTATACAGATGTCCTGACTAATCTATATAAAGATATAGACATAGTTCTATATAAAGACCTCATTGTCCTATGTAAAGATGTACTCATTGTTCAATAAAGATGTCGTCATTGCCCTGTGTATACAAATGTCCCCACTGTTCTATAAACAAATGTCCCGACGGTTCTATAAACAAATGTCCCCGTGGTTCTCTAACAGAGTTCCTAATTAAGGCCGAGCCGTGTGTCCCAGAGAACAGCACCAGAGCAGGCAGAAAGAAAGCCCACAAGATGTACGACGCTCTGTTGCTGGTCAGCACTAGTGTGGCCAACATGTACAACAGGAGAATATTAAGGGAGATCTACGGGCTGTACGCTAGTACACAGCCCTACAGGATCAAGGTGAGTCACGTGATGTCCGTACAGAATCAAGGTGAGTCACGTGATTTCCGTACTAGCGTGGCCAACATGTACAACAGGAGAATATTAAGGGAGATCTACGGGCTGTACGCTAGTACACAGCCCTACAGGATCAAGGTGAGTCACGTGATGTCCGTACAGAATCAAGGTGAGTCACGTGATGTCCGTACTAGCGTGGCCAACATGTACAAAAGGAGAATATTAAGGGAGATCTACGGGCTGTATGCTAGTACACAGTCTTACAGGATCAAGGTGAGTCACGTGATGTCCGTACAGGATCAAGATGGGTCACGTGATGATGTCACACAATCAAGGTGAGTCACTTGATGTCGTCACAGAATCAAGATGGGTCACGCGATCACCGTCCAAAATTAAGGTAGGTCACGTGACGTCATCACAGAAGCGAGAACAGAATGATAATAAAGCATTTTAATCTTTTTTTTTTAATGTCTAGAGTCTAATGTGTAAACTGTGTCTAATTTGTATCGAATATGTCTCATTTGTTTAAATTTTTTTCTAATTTGTGTCAAGAGTGTAATGTGTAAATTGTGTCTAAAGTGTATCTAATATGTCTAATTTGTTTCTAATTTTTGTCTAATTTGTGTCTAAAGTCTAATGTGTAAACTGTGTCTAATTTGTATCGAATATGTCTAATTTGTTTCTAAATTTTGTCTAATTTGTGTCTAGAGTGTAATGTGTAAATTTTGTCTAATTTGTGTCTAGAGTGTAATGTGTAAATTTTGTCTAATTTGTGTCTAGAGTGTAATGTGTAAATTTTGTCTAATTTGTGTCTAGAGTGTATTGTGTAAATTGTGTCTAATTTGTGTCTAGAGTGTATTGTGTAAATTGTGTCTAATTTGTATCTCGCGTGTAATATGTAAATTGTGTCTAATTTGTATCTAGCGTGTAATATGTAAATTGTGTCTACTTGGTGTCTAGAGTGTATTTCTCGTGGGTCGGACGAAGGACGACATCTTGCAAGCCAACATTGAGCGGGAACATCATCAGTACAGGGATATGTTACAGGTAAAACATCATCAGTACAGGGATATGTTACAGGTAAAACATCATCCGTACAGGGATATGTTACAGGTAAAACATCATCAGTACAGGGATATGTTACAGGTAAAACATCATCAGTACAGGGATATGTTACAGGTAAAACATCATCAGTACAGGGATATGTTACAGGTAAAACATCATCAGTACAGGGATATGTTACAGGTAAAACATCATCAGTACAGGGATATGTTACAGGTAAAACATCATCAGTACAGGGATATGTTACAGGTAAAACTTCAGTACAGGGATATGTTACAGGTAAAACTTCAGTACAGGGATATGTTACAGGTAAAACATCATCAGTACAGAGAGATGTTACAGTTAAAACATCATCAGTACAGGGATATGTTACAGGTAAAACATCATCAGTACAGGGATATGTTACAGGTAAAACATCATCAGTACAGGGATATGTTACAGGTAAAACATCATCAGTACAGACAGGTAAAACATCATCCGTACAGGGATATGTTACAGGTAAAACATCATCAGTACATGGATATGTTACAGATAAAACATCATCAGTACAGACAGGTAAAACATCATCAGTACAGACAGGTAAAACATCATCCGTACAGGGATATGTTACAGGTAAAACATCATCAGTACAGGGATATGTTACAGGTAAAACATCATCAGTACAGAGATATGTTACAGATAAAACATCATCAGTACAGACAGGTAAAGCATCATCCGTACAGGGATATGTTACAGGTAAAACATCATCAGTACAGGGATATGTTACAGGTAAAACATCATCAGTACAGGGATATGTTACAGGTAAAACTTCAGTACAGGGATATGTTACAGGTAAAACTTCAGTACAGGGATATGTTACAGGTAAAACATCATCAGTACAGAGAGATGTTACAGTTAAAACATCATCAGTACAGGGATATGTTACAGGTAAAACATCATCAGTACAGGGATATGTTACAGGTAAAACATCATCAGTACAGGGATATGTTACAGGTAAAACATCATCAGTACAGACAGGTAAAACATCATCCGTACAGGGATATGTTACAGGTAAACATCATCAGTACAGACAGGTAAAACATCATCCGTACAGGGATATGTTACAGGTAAAACATCATCAGTACAGGGATATGTTACAGGTAAAACATCATCAGTACAGGGATATGTTACAGGTAAAACATCATCAGTACAGGGATATGTTACAGGTAAAACATCATCAGTACAGGGATATGTTACAGGTAAAACATCATCAGTACAGGGATATGTTACAGGTAAAACATCATCAGTACAGGGATATGTTACAGGTAAAACATCATCAGTACAGGGATATGTTACAGGTAAAACATCATCAGTACATGGATATGTTACAGGTAAAATATCATCAGTACAGGGATATGTTACAGGTAAAACATCATCAGTACAGGGATATGTTACAGGTAAAACATCATCAGTACAAGGATATGTTACAGTTAAAATACCATCAGTACAGGGATATGTTACAGGTAAAACATCATCAGTACAGGGATATGTTACATGTAAAACATCATCAGGACATGTACACTCTTTCACTGTTTTCATACAAAACCGCACACATACATACGTCAAGACACACATTCACAACTTTGAAAATAATCACACACACCGCTTCAATTTGTTTGTATGTGTTCCTTATACCCGTATAATTCACGGAGCCAATTACCATTCATCTACATTCAAAATACCAGTGACCATTGACCTACATTTACAAGACTAGTGACCATTGACTTACATTCACAAAACCAGTGACCATTGACCTACATTCATAAGACCAGTGACCATTGACCTACATTCAAAATACCAGTGACCATTGACCTACATTCACAAGACTAGTGACCATTGACCTACATACACAAGGCCAGTGACCATTGACCTACATACACAAGGCCAGTGCCTATTGACCTACATCTACAAGACCTTTTTCCATTGACCCACATTCGCAACACCAGTGACTTTTGACCTACATCTGCAAGACCATTGGCCATTGACCTACATTCACAAGACTATCTACCATTGACCTACATTCACAAGACTATCGACCATTGACCTACATCCACAAGAACAATGACAATTGACCTACATCCACAAAACCAGTGACCTTTGACCTACATCCACAGGGCCAGTTCTATGACCACTACCACAACTTGACCTACAAGACCATCATGGGCTACAGATGGACACGGCTCTACTGTAAAAACATCAAGCTCATTCTAAAAATAGACGATGACGTTTTCTTAGATGTTTACAAATTTTTCGACTTCTTTTTACCTCTCGTGCCCAAACATAAAAGGTAAGTCCGTGTTGTTATGTGTAATATGATGTGTACACAACTGTGTAACAAACCTTTCGCCGTACACACACACATGTGAAGTATTATACACTTTATGTACAGAACTGTGTACGGGTTCCTGAACTACCACCCCCGGGTATTCCGAGATGGCAAGTACCGGGTGGGGGTGGAGGAGTACGCGGGCAAGAACTACCCCAACTTCTGCAGTGGGTTCTTTGTTGTGCCAACACTGGACCTCATTGACGAGATCTATGAGGTGTCCAAGACAGTCAGGTACCGGGTTGTGTGGGTGGGTGGGGTAGGAGTGGGTGTGGTAGGGGTGGCTGTGGTGGGAGTGGGTGTGGGTGTGGTAGGGTGGATGTGGTAGGAGTGGGTGTGGTATGAGTGGGTGGGGTAGGAGTGGGTGGGTGTGGTAGGGGTGGGTGGGGTAGGTGTGGGTGGGGTAGGAGTGGGTGTGGGTGTGGTAGGAGTGGGTGTGGGTGTGGGTGTGGTAGGAGTGGGTGTGGTAAGAGTGGGTGTGGGTGTGGTAGGAGTGGGTGTGGTAAGAGTGGGTGTGGGTGTGGTAGGAGTGGGTGTGGTAGGGGTGGGTGTGGTATATGTGTAGGTGATTTTGCTGGTTGCGAACGGATGTGTGTGAGGGTGTGGGAGTTTGTGGGTTTTGTGAGCTTCCATGTGAGTCGCTTGTAGTGGGGGGGGGGGGGTTGCGGGTACGTTCGGTTGTTTCTAAGGCTGTAAATGTGGTTGTTGCTTATGTTGGCTGGTGTGGGTTTTTTTTTTTTGCTGATGTTGGTTAATATGATTGTATTGGTGTTGTTTTGTGTGGTTGCTGCTTATATTGTTGTTGTTTTTTTATGATGTTGGTTGATATGATTGTATTGTCGTTGTTTTGTGTGGTTGTTGTTGATGTTGGTTGGTGAAGCTGCTGCACATGATTGCTTGTGTGGTTGTTGATTGCCTAAGTCAGGATTGCTGGCTATGATTGTGATACATTATGTATTGTAGACTTGAGTAGCCAGTGAATTATTGATTGTGATACGTTATGTATTGTAGACTTGAGTTGCCAGTGAATTTGTTCCTGCAGATTTTTCCGTCTAGAAGACGTGTTTACCTACGGTCTAGTGCGGGAGAACATGGTGGACGTCCAGCTGGTCCACCTTGATGTCATCACCTACGATTTGAAGTCCTACAAGGACTGTGTTAATGATTACAGGTCGGTGGTCCAGGTGGTGCTCTGGTTTTGTGGTCTGACTGTGGTCTCACTTTGTTGTGTGGCTTTGTGGTCTAACAAAAACAGGTCCATGTGGCTGTCTCCTGCCGCAGGTAAAGGTAGATACATGACTAATCCCCTACCCCTGCCGCAGATACATGACTAATCCCCTACCCCCTGCCGCAGGTACATGACTAATCCCCTACCCCCTGCCGCAAATACTTGACTAATCCCCTACCCCTGCCGCAGGTACATGACTAATTCCTTGTCTCCTGTCGCAGGTACATGACTAATCCCCTATCCCCTGCGCAGGTACATGACTAATCCCCTACCCCCTGCCGCAGATACATGACTAATCCCCTACCCCTGCCGCAGGTATATGACTTATTCCTTGTCTCCTGTCGCAGGTACATTACTAATCCCCTACCCCTGCCGCAGGTACATGACTAATTCCTTGTCTCCTGTCGCAGGTATATGACTAATCCCCTATCCCTTGCGCAGGTACATGACTAATCCTCCATTCCCTGCTGCAGGTACACGACTAATCCCCCATTCCCTGCCGCAGGTACACGACTAATCCTCCATTCCCTGCCGCAGGTAAATGACTAATCCCCCATTCCCTGCCGCAGGTACATGATTGATTCCCTGTCCCCTGCCGCAGGTAAATGACTAATCCCCTATCCCCTCCGGCAGGTACAGGTGCAAGTACATGGCTGTCGAGGTCCCGCCATCGCAATTGTTGACCACATACAACCAGGTGGTCAAGTTTAGAAAACAGCTGGGGCTGACCAGTGGAGGCGCCAATTAACATCTTAACAACTGATAATTAATTGAAGTGCCAATTAATATCTTAATAACTGATAATTAATTGAAGTGCCAATTAACATCTGGATTACTGCTAATTAATTTAAGTGCCAATTAACATCTGGATTACTGCTAATTAATTTAAGTTGATAGATCATTTAACTCCCTAATCCAAAGATTCACTTCTTCATCACAATAATTAAGTGGAGCGGTAAAAAGAACTCTTACATTATAATTAAACAAGTACCCTACAGATTAAGTATTAATTTAACAATTAATAAAATTAATTATTTAGCTACTAATGTTGGAGGTGACACAATTAACTATGTGAGATGTAAAATACCTTCATGCTTAAAGGGCTCTACGCCTTTTTAAATTAAATGCTCGCTTATTTTAAAGGGTCTAATGGTACCCCCCCCCCCCCCTCCCCCTATCTTTTACTCTCACCCATTGTCTCGAGATTACAAAGCTCTTTGGTCAAAGGGTCAAAATCTTTGTTTAAGAGTTGATAGGGTCATAACGCGTCTCTTTGTTGTGTATCACGCTAAATAATGCGTCAAACAAAGGTATGCTAGTGATCATCAAGTAAGGTATTCTAATGATCATAAAAAGGTATAAGCCAGTTACCAGCGTGAACCAGCATGTTCCCATCTGTTGGTACCTCTCAACTCGACATTAAAAAACAGTCAATACCTGCAAATCTCATGTTGTTTATTTCTGTTCATTGTCTTTGTCAACTTGATGATTGTTAACTTAATGTTTGTTAACTTGATTGTTAACTTGATATTTTAAAGAAATACTTCTCAGGATATCTGAAGATGTATCGGATTTTAGAAAATTGCTTTAGAATCACAGAAATTTTAAAAAATAATACTTAGTATATATTATATAATATACAATATATATATATATATATATATATATATATATATATATATATATATATATATATATATATATATATTTATGTGTGTGTGTGTTTGTGTGTGTGTATGTATATATATATATAACTATTGAGATAGCAACGTTATCCATCACACACCTAGTTTTATACAAGGGAGGCAATTCGCTATTTTCCAACATCTTGTTTTACTATAGCTTCCCCTTAACTGGAGTACAGCTAAAATCTATGATTCTAGACCTTGCTGTAATTTTAATTGCCTGCGCTTTCTCCCAGTTTTATAATTAACGAAAATGTAAAAATTTAATTTATTTAATTACTCAAATAATCATGGGTTTTTTTTGTGGGTTTTTTTCGAACACATAAGCGATTTTTTTCCCAAATATACACCTATATTTACAACATGAAATCTTAATTCTGAAAATAGTAACGAGCCTTTTGAACACGGGATGTTTTGATACTGTGACTACAAAATTAAACTAAAACCCGGTGAATTTCCCACAATTCTCGCACATGTTTGGGGAGCGTGTGGGGCAGCCATAGGACGTCACTTCCGCTTTTTTAGCTGGCGAACACAAAGTTGTCAACAATTAAATTAGGCGAGTTAATTAAGCTACTAGTTGGAAACCAAACTTGGTTTATACCCGTGTCCCAGTTGTTGAAATGTGTCAGAGATTTGGAGGGCTACAGTTATGATTGTGTTAATGCTTTATGGGCTACAGTTATGAATATGCAAAGACTTGAAGTAAGTTGAAGTGATACAGTTATAAATATGCAAATGCTTGAAGGGCTAGTTATAAATATGCAAATGCTGTAGGGCTACAGCTATGAATATGCAAATCTTGAAGGGCTACAGATATGAATATGCAATCACTTGAAGCAGGGGCGTAGCGAGGGGGGGGCGGGGGGTGCGGACCGCACCGGGTGACACCATTTAGGGGGGTGACACCAAGGCAAAAAATAGCAAAATATATAGAGAAAAACTCGAGGGGGGGGGGTGCAAATCGAAAATTTGAGGGGGGGTTGCAAATCGAAAACTCGAGGGGGGGGTGCAAATCAAAAGTTTGAGGGGGGGGGGTGCAAATTGAAAACTCGAGGGGGGTGCAAATCGAAAGTTTGAGGGGGGGGGGGGGGGGGGGTGCAAATCGAAAATTTGAAAGTTTGTCCCTGGGAAGGGTCTCTATGCCTCTGGGGGGGGGGGGGGGTGACACCATTAAGTGCCGCACCGGGTGACACCCGACCTCGCTACGCCACTGACTTGAAGTAAGTTGAAGGGGCACAGTTATGAATATCTTAATGCTTTATGCGCTACAGTTATGAACGGCTTAAGGGTGAACAGATTTGAATGTATCAAGGTTTGAATGGTTACAGTTATAAGTAAGTAAAGATGTGGAGTGCTAAAGCTATGAATATCTCAAGATATGAAGGGCTAATTTGAAGCTATGAATATCTCAAGAAATGAAGGGCTAATTTGAAGCTATGAATATCTCAAGAAATGAAGGGCTAATTTGAAGCTATGAATATCTCAAGAAATGAAGGGCTAATTTGAAGCTATGAATATCTCAAGAAATGAAGGGCTAATTTGAAGCTATGAATGTCTCAAGAAATGAAGGGCTAATTTGAAGCTATGAATATCTCAAGAAATGAAGGGCTAATTTGACGCTCTGAATATCTCAAGAAATGAAGGGCTAATTTGAAGCTATGAATGTCTCAAGATATAAAGGTCTATTTTGAAATGTCTCCTAATAAGTTCGTATTGACATTTCCTCTTGTGATTTCTATTTGAAATGTATTTTTTCTATGTGCGAGTTCTTTTCGTCATGTAGTTGATATTTGTCCTTGAAAGTTTTCGTTATGATTTCACTTTGCTGCTGTTGTTATTGTTGTTGTGTTTAGTCAAATATTTTCTATACAACATGATAGTGTGGTTTGACATTGAAGTCAAAATAAAATAATTTGTTTCCAAATTTTGCAAAACCTTCGTTAAGAAATAAACGAATTACATCTTGCTGACGTCATGAAAGTTTAAAGATTTTGAGTGTAGAGTGACCCGTTCTGTGATTGCAAAACGTTTCAAATTTGAAACCTTTACGAAAAGAAGCAATTATTTCGTGGAGATTAAAAACCTTGAGTGATTGTCTTTTGGTTGTTAAGATTAGCACAAGGGTTCAGCACAATAGGACTTTGCCATATGGGAGGAGGGGGGAGAGGTCAGAAAATGTCCATTCATAGGCAGTGGCGTCAGTGGGTAACTCAGGGTATCCTACGTTCTCCATATATATAAGGCCGTTTTGACAGTGCATCGTTTAATTAATACAGATCATGAAAAACAAAACAAAAGAGTGAAATATTATTTATTCGATTAGGTACTAATAATGCTCAAAACAAATTTGAGTATCGATGTATATTATGTTTCTCAAAAATGGTATGGTATATGGGAGAAAAATGGATGGGGGGAGGGGGGGTTGGTGGTTGATTGTGGTAAAATGAATACATTTATGCGACATTATTCGGAAAGATGTACTTACTGGTTTCTAAATTTAGTGAGTGTTGTGATTAACATAAAAATTCTGGAAGTAAAAAAGGAATAATAATAACAAGGTTTGAAACATGATCTGCTGTCTGATACAACTTGTCAATTATCGATGAGGTACTGCTGGTCTAAATTTAGTCTTAACAGTTGTGGGGCTTATGATTTCAGCGTTTCCTTTAAACATCATCACTAACAATAGCATCAGTCCATTAAACTACCAACACATATAGTAAGCTTTTAAAAAAACAACTTTTATTTCCGAGAGGTAGTTTTTTTTTTAAATGCCAATTGCCGTAAATGCACAATGAGTGAAAAAAATAATTAAAAACGTTTAAAATCAGATGCCTACATTAGCTGATCACAAATAACCAGGAGGTACAATTATAGACCCGCTGTTACATAATCTTGACACGCAGGTAATTTCAATGGTGATCGTTACGAACCTATAGAAATGGTTTGTTTACTTCCGAGTGATCTAACGTTTTAACCACCGCGGCGATTAGACACGCAGGTAAAAGTCACGTGTCACGATGCGGTCCAGTGAACTTGACCCAACAGTTTGTTTATCTCCGTGTTTTGGCACTCAGGTGGACATTGAGTCCAACCTTTTGATGTAGCCGCACTGTTCTAATGGCACTGATTTATTTACCTTTACGGCAGGTGACCACGTGATGAACGTTTGATGATGTAATAATTTTCTCAGTGTATGACACGAGTATTTTGTTGACTTGCGGCCTTCTATGACACTTCTAAAATATATTTTGTTTGAAAAGACAAGCATATCGTTATATGTATATCAGACTAAGATTTTAATGGTTTTGAAGCATGCATTTAATACTTTATTACTTGAAAATGTTTTTAACAATTAGATAGTGTTAGTAACATTATGTTCCCATGGTGCAAGTATTGACAAAGAATAATTAAGATATTTTTTTCTGAATTTAGATTTTTATATTCAATTAGATTTTAAAAGCGAAATAAACAAGAATTATAAGTATAAAACAAGCGTTTATATACTAGGATCTCTCCAACTTACAATCTTTTGAATAACCGTTTATAATTTATATCCAATTCTTCAGTAGTAGGGTTGGGAGGAGAGGCTTCAGACATTTGTGAAAATGTGTGAAGGAGGTAGGGGGGGGGGGTTGAATGTGAGGTGTTACATTTTTAGTTATTTAAAAGTACTGCAACAAACTTAATTTTTAGACTTACCTTGAATGTTAAGTAATTTAATTTGTACCAAACATTGATCAATAAACTAAATGTTGTTCAAGCTCAGAACATATATTTAAAAGATATCACACGCTTAAAAACAATAAATTTAAATTATTAAGCTGTAGTAAACTGAGGTGTAACGTCATGTCATGGGGTAGGCAGGGTGTGTCGCATTTTTTGTGATGATGGGTTAAGATTAGAATGAGGTGTTGGGGTGAAACATAGATCAAACATAAAACATTAGTCTACTTGCCACTGCGGCGTGAATTATCACGTCGTCATTTCCAAAGGTATTTTTTCCAAAATGTAAGAACAGCCAATCGTAGATCATAGATCAGGTCTTACTCACGCTTGATCTATTTGCGGACAAAGGCGATTACGTCATCGGACCGTAACGAGTCCATTGTTCACGTCGTGTTTGACACTGCAGGGGGCGGGTCTTAGAGATGTACAATATAAGACGTCACATCGGCTACTCCAGGTCAGTCTACAGCTAGTTCTCGAGCTGATTTGGACATTTCTGATTCAAATATTTTCAAGTAAATATCCCATCGCTTTGAAAGTTTATCATCTACCAATCTTGCCATGGATAACTCACGGCCTGTAAAGGAACCATTGGGTTGTGAATCTGATGGCTCAGACGCTGAAAACAATGAAAGTAAAGACAACTCGGGTCTCAATGCTTATAGAGTCAGGCGAAACAAGTTGAATATCAAGGTAAGTTTAAATATTTTAATGAATCTTAATTTTCACTTGATGTTTTTTTTAAAGTAAATTTAATGCTGCATTGTGATTTGTCACTTTTTTGACCGTATTATACTTTAATACTACGATCACTATTAGTTTTGTGGTATTGACCGTTAGGTTCCAAATTGCACGTTTACACTGGAATGAGATTAATGTATGACTTTCATATACAAGTGTGAGAGATCACTGTATCACACACATTGTAATACAAGTATAAAATAAACGTTCCCCATTCCACTGA